GTGCAGTCCGTCACCGCGCAGCTGGGGCTCAAGGAGCTGGAGGGGCGGCGGCTCGAGGCCGCGCCCGCTGCCTGCGCGGCCCGCCGCGGGCTCCGAGCACTTTGCCCCTCTCCGCCGCTGCCGCAGCGCTCCGCTGGGCCTCCTCCTCCTCCTCCCTCCCTCTCCTCCTCCTCCTCCTTCCTCCTCCTCCTCCTCCTCCTTCCTCCTCCTCCCTCCCTCCTCCCCTCCTCCCTCCCCTCCTCCTCCTCCTCCTCCTCCTCCCTCCTCCTCCTCCTCCTCCTCCTCCTCGGGTCGCCCACGGCCCCCGGGGAAGCCGCGCAGGGTCGGCGGGCCCTCGGGGGCGGCCCGCGGGCAGGGGGCGCCGCCCGTCGCCGCCTCTGCGGTGGGGGGCGGCGGTCGCCGCCAACGTTACATATCGGCGGCGACCGAGGCGGCGACGAGAGGCGGCGACCGGGGCCGCACCATGGCCATAGCAGCAGGTGCTCAAATCGCGAGTGCGGGCCTGAACGTTCGCAGCTGGATGTAAAAATGTCGTCCCGCTCTGCACGGGGAGCGGGAGAGAGCAGGCATGACGGCATCATCAGCAGTGTTATGCATGCTTATCTACCCACGTACTTGTCGGGAAGGGGGGAAGCAAAAACGGGCGGGCCTTCCCAGAAGTCTCTCGGAAGGCCCCCGGCCTTCTGAGAAGTGTTCTGAGCCTTCCCCGGAGACAGGAAGCACCTCTCAGAAGGCGCGAGGGCTTCTGAGGAGTCCCGCCGACTTCTGAGAAGGCCTTCTCCTTCTCACTCCCCCCCCCCTCGCTCGCCGCCAAAGGTAGGCTCAGGGGGAAGCAGGTTTTCCGACGTTCTCGTCGCTTCTCGGCCGTTCTCCAGCCTCGGCGTGCTCTCTTCCGACGCCTCGGCGAGGGGCGCCCCCAGAACGGCCGCCAGAGATCCGAATTATGACCCGCAGACCAGGCGACGAGGATCACCGCGGGGGAGGAGACTTTTTTTTAGGGTCGGGCGATACCCCGGGTTATCGGGCTTGCCCCCCCTTCCCCCCCCCCCTCAGGATAACCCAACCTTGCCGGTCGTGCAGGTCCGCGGGAGGTGGGGCGCGGGCATATGCAGGACGGCCCCCTCCTCCTCCTCCTCCTCCTCCTCCTCCTCCTCCTCCTCCTCCTCCTCTCCTCCTCCCCCCCCCGGGATAACCAGGGTTATCGCCGATTCACAAAAACGGTCTCTTGTCAGCCACGCGCAGGAGGGGGGTAAGGCAAGCTAGGTGTGCTCGCGTCCTATCTGACGTCCTACCCCTCCCTCCCATCCCTTACCGTGGCGTTGATACCCCCTCTATTCGCACAGCCGGATGTCGAGCAGGGACGGGGGAAGGCTTCTCAGGGACGCACCCCTGCCTCTGAGAAGGCGCAGGCGCTGTCTGTAGGTGTGAGGCCCGCGCCTGCTGAGAAGCGGCCTCCTTGCAAGGAGCCTTCCCCTCTCCCCCTACCACCTCCTTGTTTTAAGTCGGGCCTGTCCCCCTTACAGGGGGATTTTCGACGAAAAATGAAAAACCCAAAACATAGTCAAAAAATATGCAAAGATAGTCGGGGGGCTATGTTTTGCGTATTTCTTGGCCTTTTTGGAGCATTTGAGGGGTATTTTTTTTTCGTCGAAAATCCCCATGTAGGGGGGCACGCCCGACGTAAGCCTTGTTCGCGCGGCCAATCTCGGTTCGATTCAAGGTTCGAGGTGCTCGAGGTTCCAGGTCTTCGGGCGTTTCCTTGGGTCCCCCCTGGTTTTTGAGCCCCCGGGTGCCATCCAGCAGCCGCGCCTCGCCGGGAGCTTCCCAGGGGTGCCAGCATCGTCTCGAACGGCCGCCAGAGACCCGAGTTACAGTCGGGGCCCTGAAGAAGGAACCCTTTTGGTTGGGGAGGGGCTCCGCATTCCTTAAGTGTTTCACAGCTTGCCTCAGGCTTTCCTTAGGTTTTCGACAGGAAATCGAAGGTTAACTCATGGAAAAAAGGGGCCTCGTTCCTTATTTAGGGTTTCTTAGGTCAACGCCCCGACTGTCTGACCCGAAAGCCGAAGTTGGGGTCCATTCTGATCCGATCGATCCGATTCGGTATCGAGTTCGTCCGGCCCGTTCCGATGCGGTCCCGATGCTGCTCCAGCGATCTGGTGCGTTCCGGTGCCTGTGCGGCGCTGTTGCGCATAGTGTCGCAGGCGATGCGGCTCCATGCGGTTCCGTGCCAGTGCAGCCCGATCCGACGCACCTCCGGCTTCGATCCGATTTGCCAGTTTGATGCTGTTTGATTGTGTTCTGCTCTGTGCATGCGCGTTCGAGGTTGGACCCTGCGTATGATGAGTCCAGGACGACAGCCCCACTGCAGTTGTTCTGCGCAGGCGCTGGCATCTGCGATTGTCCAGTGTTGGTCAGGGTTCGAATCTTGGTGTGCTCTGCGACGGCAGCAAAACGTTTTGCAGTTGCTGAAGATGGTCAGCCATGTGGTGTCTCTGGCGCAACGAGCTCGGGCAGACTACACGCTCTCGTGCTTTCAACGAAGGGGCTGGCGCGCGGGCCAAAAGCAGTGACATGTTGCAGCGTGTTGGGTCCAGGAGGAGGAGAAGGAGGAGGAGAGAGAGGAGGAGAAGGAGGAGGAGGGGGAGGAGGAGGAGGGGGAGGAGGAGGAGGAGGAGGAGGAGGAGGAGGAGGAGGAGGAGGAGGAGCTGTCCTGTGTGGCCCTGTCGGGCGAGACCAGCGTGGGTCTCCATCGGGCGGGACCCCGTCGGGTGGGACCCCATCGGAAGGGGCCCTATCCTGCAGGACCCTGTTGTGTCTGGCCCGAGGGGGTGGGACCCTACCGCGTGGACCCTTTTCGGGGACACTGCCATCTGATGACCATCATTCGGGAAATCGTTTGAGGACATTGAAGTCTGATAATGCATTGCGAGTCCTTCAAGGGGGCCCTGTCAGCCTACCAAAAAATAGGGAAGTCCTCAGGGTGCTGTGACGCGGGCAATTCCCGCGAACATGCGAAAATTCAGGCATCCAAGGCCAATTCATTAGAAGACAGCCCGAATGCCTCAGTGCAAGAACTGTCTGCAGAAACAAGTGGAGTTGGCGTGCACACGCATTGAACAGCTACACTCGTCATCATCATCATCATCATCATCATCATCATCATCATCATCATCATCATCATCATCATCATCATCATCATCATCATCATCATCATCATCATCATCATCATCGTGTTAGCCTATTGTGCAGACAGCGTCAAGCGTAAGATCTGCAGTTTTGTGCGCCCGCTGGTTCCTCCATCCTCGATCCACCCGAGACGCTTGGTAGCACCGAAAAGAGACTCGGAAGCCGGGCAAGGGCTGTCAAATCCGTGGCTGCTAAAATCGACCTCCGGGAAGTTGTCTTCGTCCTTCCGGGAAGAACCCCGTTGCCTGTGTCGCGTGCCGCGCCTCATTCCGGGAAGCTGTTTTTTCCTTCTGGGAGGGCCGTGCTAGCAGCCACGGTTTTAGCAGCCCTCGCCCAGCTTCCGAGAGACAGACGTATCACCTTGATCTCCGTGGCATGCCGGCCCGCTTGGGCCCTTCGGGCTTCCGGGAGCGTGCGGGGTACGTGTGGCCTTGATCGCGCCCCGGGGTGCCGAGGCCGGCGCTTGCGTGTCCCTGAGGCGGCGCGCTGCTGGACCCTCCGGGAGGGCAGCAACACGGCGACGCTTCGTTCGTGCGGGTGGCGAGGTCTGGTTTTGGTGACCGGGAGGCGGCTCTTCCCTGGATCCCCCTTGTGAGCAGGAGATGGATGGGCCAAACGTCCACCACGACGGGGAAGTCCTCCTCCTCCTCCTCCTCCTCCTCCTCCTCCTCCTCCTCCTCTTTCTCTTTCTCCTCCTCCTCCTCCTCGTCCTCTTCCTCCTCTTCCTCCTCCCCCTTTTCCTCCTCCTCACTCTCCTACGTATGTCAGCGGTAGTGGAAGATCGGCCTATCAGAAGTGGCGACGGGTGCACCTCTGGCCGCTCACGTGGAGGCGATGTTCCGTTTGGATGCCTCGAAGGGGGCGCTCCGCTAGAGCCTCCAGAGGTGCAGGGATTTACGTCGTTCTCTGCGCCCCCCCTGCGGGCTCTGGCATGAGCCCCCGATGGCACAAGAAGACACCAAGATGGCGTCAGTCGACCCACATAGTAAGGGGGGCAACCTTCCCAAGGGTACCTTTGCATCGTTGCCTCCTCGCTCCATCCTTGGCCACTTTCGTTGGCCGCGCACCGCTCGAAAAGCTTCGAAATGGGCGTCCAAGGCCCTTGCATCCTTATCGCGCATCCTTACTCTACGGATTGATTGTATGTTGGAGTTGATGTTCCGTCAGCGCAGCCAAAGCTGGCATCGTCAGATGAGGGCTACGTCTGAGACCGCATGACGGCAGGTACGTATGCGGCTGGCAACGCCCAGAGAGCCGAGGTCCAGTTTGGGTACCCTTGAGGAGGCACTGCGCTGGGCTCCCCGGCGGCAATGTCGATGACAACACTGTGTAAGCGTGTCGACGGAGAAAGCATACGGCTGTGCCCAGGGAGACGAGTTCTATCGTTTCCGATTTTTTTTGGTGTAGTGGAATTGTTCGTGGTTCGCGAGGTGCAACGATCAGGACCAGTCGCGGCCGCCAGCAGACCGTATTCTTTTCGGCAATCCAATGCCCAACTCACGGCGATACCCATTGCGGGTCGTTTTAGGTTCGGCCGCCGAGAGCGGAATGTATGGCGCAACCATTTTTAGCAAGGCGGTGTATGTTCGGCAGCCGAGTGCCCAACGTAAGGCGCAACGAATGGCAGGTCGTTTCATTGCTTGGCAGGCGCGGGTGTGATTTGTGGTGACATCTATTGCGAAACCCATGGACGGCGCAATTTGCGGTGCAAGCCATGGATAGTGCAACCCATAACGTAACATATGGTACAACCTGTGGCGCGACCCATGGCGCAATTCATGGATGGCCTAATTCATTCATCGCGCAACCCATGGCGCAACCTATGGATGACGCAACACATGGGTGCTGTAACTTGTAGCGCAACCCACGTGTGTCGCACCCCTGGCAGTTTCCACATGGTTACGCCCGATTTGCGCTAGCCGTTTTGGCTGACGTCGGGGCCCACGCGCCGAGTTGTCTTGCGATTCTGATCGCCACGGGCAAAGACCAGCACGAGCCGAAAGGCAAGTGGAAGTTGTTGCGTCCCATTCGTTACACACTGGTGCACGCGTCGGTCCAAACGCCACCACGTTCTGCACTGGGTGGGCGCGCCGGACAGGACGCCTGCGATATTTTGCAAGGGTGAATTGCGCCCTGGAATGTCGCCCCCTCCCCCCCCCCAGTCATCCACTCCATTCGTTGTATTTTCAGCCATGGGAGTGGATGGGGCCTAGTTTAGCAGGCTTTCCTTCGGATTTCTTCAGACATGTACCAAGTCTTGCCCCTGGTTGGGCCTGGTTGGTCTCCATTGGCGGCGCTTCTCGCCTGAGAGGTCCTGACAGACTGCCTGCTTTGGGATCGTCTTCCTGAAACATGTTCCCAGTGTTGGTTGTTTGTCTGACAGGGTTTTGATGCTATTGCTTGCGGGTTACGGCCAATTTGCCTGGTCTGGGGCCCGGCTTGGTGTGGTCTTGGGCAGACTTCGCTTAGGACGCCCGCAGGGTTTACTTAGTTCGAGGTGTCGTTTAGGCAGGTTTGGGGCTGGTTTCGCCGTGGAGGTCCTCGCAGTTTGCCTGGCAACGTCGTTTGGCCCCGATTGAGATGGGTTTCGCTTGGGACGTCTGGCCAGTTTTTGGGGCGTCTTGTATTGACGCCATAAGAACATCCAACCGCAGTTTGAAGATGATGCTCCTGGAGCCTCTGATTGGGACATCTGCTTGCTATGCAGCTTACAAATGGGGGCCCGTTGTGACTCCTGCTTGCGATCACAACAACCCGCGCGAAAAGAACGTGGAGAAGCGCACGCGAATCCCCCAGCATAAACCATAGTCAGCGCAGCACGAACGCGGATGTAGAACCCTGGGGCCTGGTGTCGTGGTGAAGATTTGAGACTTGGGTCCGATCACCCGGCAAATATTCTGGGGGCGGACCAGGAGCGTCGCACAATATGTGGGATCCGGACTGGTGTTTGGGAGGGCCATGGGCATCTCAATCTGAGATCGAGACGCTTTCAGAAGCAAGTGCTACATCGAGAAAGGACGTGTTCGATTTGTTCGTTTGTTTTGCTGTCCGAAGATAGCTTGCGAGATACAGCGATCCGTGGCAGAAACTCGTCACTGTGCGAATGGATTGCGATGGTGCATGGATCGCGTATGCAGGCACTAGGCGATGTGAATAGGGATGAATGTTGGTAGAGGGTGCCTTTATGTGTAATCGACTGCACGAGCTCCTTGCCCCGTATGCCCACGGCTAAGTGTGCGGCTGACGTGATTGATCTGGTGGTTTGAGACATCGGTTTGCCTGCATCACGTCACGCTTCCCGTTGGCATGTGCTCTTCTTATCTAATGTTTCCATATCCTCTTCTGGTGTTACCCTATCCTGATTGCTTCCGCGTCGACCGGCTGCATTCCCGTCCCAATGTGGAGGCTCAGGTAATGCAGCTTCGAGGCTTGCTCGTGGAAAAGGAGTTCGCTTCTCTCCCTGCTCTGTCACCACCTGCCTTTGAATAAATAGTTGTTGATGAGACCATCTGCGCTCGAATAACATGTTTCAAATACGCTTGGCATTTCTTTACCAGCCTATTCAGGAAAGCTGCCTGCGTAGAGGAGTTGCTGGGAGAAAGTTGAACAGAGAAGCACGCAGTGAAAGAAGACGCCCGCAATGGTACACTTAGAACCTGTAGGAGCCTCCGGGAGCCATGTTGGGATTCTATTGAGGTCATTTGGGGAGCCTTTGAGGTCGTCTTTGGGCTCAAGTTGGTCCTCTTGGGGGCCGCCTACGAGCATCCTGGAGGCCTCTGATTAAAAAGGGACGGCTTGAGTTAGCCCTGCCCTTCTGGATTCTGGATTTCGTAAATCGCAACTTGGAGCCCTCTTGGGACGCTCTTTGCGCACTTCTGCGAGCCTTCGGGGCCGTTTTGGAGCCCTCCTCGGCCTCTTTTAGAGCTATGCTGAGCGATCTTGGAGCAATCTTCAGGCTTGAGGAGCCCATCGGAAGTAGAACGGCGAGAGAGCTCACAAAGTTGTCCATTGTACGTGTTTCATGAAATTCGGTCTCACGGGTACATTCTTGGGAGGCTCCGTGGCCACCACGGACAAGATTGTGGCGGTATTTGGGGCATCGTAGCAACGTGATGTTGGGCCATCTTGTCCCAATTGTAGCGTGACGTGCTAGATTGTAGATTGTGTTGTGCTATGGCCGTGGACGGGCTAACGTCGATGCAGGTAATTGCGATGTAGGTTTCGGTATTGTGGGAACGCGTGGCTCGCGCTGTCCTGAAGTCTCCGTGTCGTGTTCGCTCGATCCATTCGCATATGGGAAATGTAGGAACGTGTAGTTTGTGACGTTCTACACTTTGGTTCCCAACATCACGGTTCAGCAACATCGCCGTTCGCCCAGCCTTTGCTAGGGCCATCTTGGACGCTCTGATTAACCCCTCGTTTGGGGGGGGGGCGTGTCAATTCTTCCAGAACTCGCCCTGGAACCTCTTCAGCCGACATGGGATCGCTCTGGGGATACCTTGCGTACCTTGACGCCACACAGCGGACTTGTGTTGAACAGCATCGTTGCCTCTTCGGTGGGCACTTCCACCGTATGTCACGAACAAACCAGGGCACGTTTGCCAGGAGCCTGTTTGTGTCTATCTCCTTGTCCGTCTGAATGTATGCTCCTTCGTTGTTAGAATACGAGTTCTCCGTATGGTTCTGTCCTTGTCTGCATCAGGGTCCGTGACAGTGATTAATCATGCCATTATGCTTGCTCGCGTGCATATATACATATATATATGTATATATACTTATATATATATATATATATGTACAGATGTATGTACATATGTATGTGTGATGTACATATGTGTGTATGGGTATCTATGTATGTGCATGTATGTATGCGTGTGGGTCCGTCTCTGGTTGTCCGTGAGCCGATCCGTGCTTGCCAAACTCCTAAGCACCGTGGTGCCCAGTGCGGGTGAGCATTGCGATGCTCATTGCCCGACTGCTGCGGGCTGGCCGTACCGCCGTCGAGCACGCGCGAGGCCCCCCGCGCCGCCTCCTCCTCCGCCTCCTCCAGCGCCCCTTGAGTTTCATCAGGCAGACGCAGTGGGAGATGTACACGATGTAAATCACGTGTGCCAGCGTCGCTACGATTCTAGGCACAGTGGCGTGCCCAGGCGTCGTGGGGCTCACAGGACGGTCGTGCCTTTACATACCATAACAACGAGACACATTGTGGCCTAATGCATCGCATTGGATGTGGCTGGAGGGTTCAGTTCGACACGGGCTCTTCGCGCTGGACGTGGCTGGCGCAAGAGCTTTTCATACGTAACCTCCCGCAGACACGGATAGGAGTGAGATCACCCCCGCTTGCATCCTGCGAAAAGCTTACAACTCTCAAAGCCCATCGCAGTCACCCATGTTGCATTCCAACTTGCATGGACATGGGCATGCATGTGTACATCGAGAGAAGGAGAGAGAGTGAGAGAGGAGAAACCAGAGAGAGAGAGAGAGAGACTGGGGAGGAATGCTCTGACCGAACTCTCGGTCGATCGCCCGAGAGTTGTGATGTCGCGGGGGGGGGGGACCGCGGACCGCGCCACAGTCTTGGCCAGATCTGGGCCCCCCCAGGGAGCCCGAAGCCGTTGTGCTCTCCGCTGCCGCCCCTGCGAACAGCACCGACGTCGACACATTTAGACCCACACGTGCGAAGGCCCGCGCAGCCCAGGCTGGCGCCACCGTTCGGGCCCACGGCCACGGGATCCGGGCCGCCCCCCGGCTCCGCTCCACGACAGGGCTCCAACAGTGGCCGCTCGCACCACCCCTGGGCGGACCTTACTGGACTACCATCTTACAGTAGCATGTTGCGCTACTAAAGAGCACAGTGAGCCATGGCGCAGCGATCCGAGGAGTGCAAGGTACCTGGACGGCTTTCCCTCCCTCGTCGGCACGGCTGGATCCGCCCCGAAATTCGAGTCGGAGCGCCCACCCTAGAGAGGTCCGCGAAGCAGCGGTTTCGGTACCTTGTTGTCCCCCCTAAACGTTGTATGACACAGCATGGGATAGCATGGATAGGGTTGGAGCGCGCCGCACATCATAGCCCAGCAGCGTATAGCACCGACTTGCATTGCATGGAAGGGCTTATCATCTCACTGTGCAGCGCTGTATACTTCAATGTATTAGCTCGTGTCACTTCATAGCCTATAGCATACCGCAGTTCATCAGAGTAGGAAATAACATCACGTAGCAGCAATCCGCAATCCATCATCGTACGACATATAATTGCAACATAGCGTAACGCAGTTGGGCAAATCACAATGCCATTTTTATAGTAACGGAGGCTGGGGGGTGAGATCGCAGTGAAGCGGAGACCCCCCACAGGGAAATCGGTTTCGGTTTCGTCTTCGTGTCGTGCGTGCGGGCGAGGCGAAGGTGCGCGTGATCCTCCTGTAGCTATGCCGAAGTAGGAGCGAAAGTCCGTTCCCGTCCGCCGGTGGTTGGGAGGAGTCCCAGTTGGGCTGGGCGGTGTCCCGGGTGTCCCGGGTGTCAGTAGGAGCGAAGTCCGTTTGAACGTCCGCCGGTGGCCGGGAGGTGTCCCAGTAGGGCCGGGCGGTGTCCCGGGTGTCCCGGGTGTCCCAGGCGTCTCGGCGCTACGCATGTCGCTAGTTTCATAATTCATTTTTGTTCGGCGCTTGCGGCGGGCTTCCTTTTCCAATCCAGCTCATCTTATCCAATCCATCTTGTCCAATTCAGTACATCTTATCTTATACAACCCATATTGTCCCATCTTATCTTATCCCACCCAATCCAACTCACCCAACCCAATCCATCAATTCATTTGTTTCTGCGCCTGCGGCGGGCCAAGCCAATCCATTGTGGTGGAGGGAGACTCTGATAGAGAGTGAGAGAGAGAGACAGAGAGAGAGAGAGAGACCGAGAGAAAGAGAGAGATGAGATCAAGGTGACAGGCTGTAGGTCAGTCAGTGTGGGCATTTGATCTCAATCCCCCCCCAAACCTCCTCGTCGCCCGCAGGGCGGTCGTATAGGTATGTACATAGGTGTACGTGTAGCTCTGATGGCATAGGCCAGAAGTCTGACTCATGGCGTGGCCTTGAAGCCTCGTGTAGCATTGCATTGCCTAGCGGACCGCTGCACATCGTAACACATCCAGGTGGAGCACAAGAACGCAGGCAAGAGCAGTGCAAAGTGCAGCAACTCAGGAGGAAAAAAAACACACAGACACAATTAATCCTCGATTCCCAGGAAAATATGGGAAAATATGGGAATCGGGGGGGAAGACAAAAACCCAGAAAATATGGGAAAATATGGGGACTATTTTTATCTGTGTGTATTTATTTGTGTGTCCTAATTTCCCTTTAGCAACGCAAACCAAGACACATCCGGCGCGTCTCGTTCTCGTCACGGGCAACGGGCTCAGCGACCCGCCGGCCCGAGCAGGCGACCCTGCAGAGCGGCTCTTGACATGGCACAGGCATGCCCCCCTCGAGGCACGCCGATTGGGGCGAGTGTGATCTCGAATGCGTGGATGCGTGTGTTTTAGCGCTCCTCCCCGTCTTCGTCTGGCAGGGGGGGCCGTGGCTAGGGGGGCTTGTCATTCGACCGCGACGTCGCTTGCTCGTGCTTGGCCCTCTCAGGCACACACCGAGACCAAGACCGAGAGTTTGTGTTGGCGCGTATCCGTTTCGGTGGCTTTTCGCTGCATGCATCAGCCACGTCTCGAACCTCCATCTGCAAGGCCAGGCGGTAACTGAACTAGGCGTTGCCCGCCCTGGTACTCGCTGCGTTGACACTCAAATGGCTGCCGACGAAAAAGTGTGTTGGCGTGGGTGTCGGTGTGTGAGTGTGTGTTTGTGTTGTGTGTGTTGTTTGTGTGTGTTGTTTGCGTGTGTGTGTTGTGCGTGTGTGTGTGTGTGTGTGTGTGTGCCTGCGTTTTGTGGGGGTTTACCTGTTTGCAAGGGAGAGTGGCGTTTCCCGTGAAGGGTTTCTTGACATGTTGAGTCGTTCCGCCTCCTTCGCTGGCAACAGGAGCGGCGTCTTCAGGAGGCCTTGGACGAGGCTCGCGTTGGGCCGCCAGAACACAGAATGCCTGAGGATGTTGCGCGCACGTCCCTCATACCAGATCTGTTCTCGGGCTTGGTGTTGCCGTGCATTCGCTTTGTTCAAGTTTCGTTCGCCTTTGTTTATGGGCTGCTCTGGGCGATTCCCCGCGCCTTCGTGGGTCTAGGGGCAATGACAATTCACTGTGGCCTGCCACGGGGGACAGAGTTTGTAACACACGCTGTGCAGCTTTTTGCGTATCCTCTAAGCAAGATGTGTGAATAGAGTTTCCCGCCTGGTGTGGGAAGGAAAGGCAACATGCTGAAAGCAGGGAGTGCAAGCAGGAAGCGCATTTGATACAAAGTGGCGTTTTTCATTGAACAGTCAGCCGAGGACACGCGAACGAACAAGCGTGACAATTCGCCGTTGGTTGTTATAAGAAGTGTCCAGTGGGCAGGTTGATGAACCAGAGAAGCAGTTACCCGAAGGCCGTCACTACCACCTTAGCGACAGTTGCGTCGCCCTGCAACCCCCATGCAGTCACGGCCAAGATCTGCTGCCGCCCGCCCTTTGTGTCTCAGATGTCAGTCGAACTCTCCGGAAGACGAGAGACGCAGGCGCCCTTCCGAATGTTGGATTGTTACACCAGCCCCCTCACGCACCAGTGCTGGTGCGTGCTTCTCTTGTGCGATGTATAGCCAAGATGCAGAAGAAAGGACCGATTCGTGCTCAGGAGGGGCTCGGGTTTTCGGGAGGTTCCTTAGATCCACGTCGGGGAACTAATTCTAAGCCGAGGTGCTTGGCTTCCGCGGCGGCCCGCGGCCGACTCGTCGGTCAAGCGCCCCTGGACTCCTTTATGCCCGGGCTGCTCCTGGTCGACCGGTGGCCTTCCCCTGGCACTCTGCAGGTTCTCTCCTGGACACGTGTTCGGCGTCACCCCAACATACTTATATCATATGTGCGTCGCCCCCCCTGGGGGCGACGCGCGCACCGAGAAATCTTCTAGTGTATGCGTCGTAGCGGGCGCCTTCTGGCCACGCCGCACGGGAAACGATATACTACAAGATGGGTATACTATGCGGGCAACAGTTATATCCACATCCAGTGCGTCTTGGATTCTTGGGCTCTCTTCCCCTGAAACCGTAGACGCACTGGATATGGATAAAATCTGGCCCCAAGAGGCTTGATTTCATCCATACCCGGCGCGCCTCGGCGTTGCGGCACCTCTTCCCGAAAAGTCCACGACGCTCTGGATATGGATATAAGTGCTGCCCGCATACTATACGTTCGGGTCGGACGCGCGCCTCCAAGGAGGACATGTAGCGTTCGTATGTCTCTGTGCGTCCCATGTTCACTAGCCCAAAACATACCCGGACCCGGGGTCAGCTGGGGTGAAAAGGGCCGCCCGCTAGAGCGTTTTCGGCCTTGCCGCCACCTCGTCTGGGTACGGGTCGGTGCCCGAAACAACCATACATACCCGGACCTAGCTGGGGTGGTGGTTGGGTCACCCCGTCTAGGTACGGGTATGTATGGTGGTTTCGGGAGCCGACCCGGACCCAGGGGGGGGTGATGCCCCGAGGGCCCCTTGCCACCCCGTCTGGGTAAGGGTACGGGTATCTTTCGCGCTCGAGACATGTGTGGCATCTCCGGGCGTGGCCTGGGACGGCAGGGTCGATCGGGGATCTCCCGGACGCCCTGCAGCCCTTGGAGGCCCACGGGGGGCAGGGGCGGCCCGGGAGGGGCCCGGGGGCCCACCTCGGGAGCCGGGGCACCCCCTGGCGCCACCTCGCGCTCGCATGTCCACCACAGTACCCCAGCCGTGGGCACCGAGGAGGAGGAGGGCCGAGGAGGAGGAGGGGGAGGGGGAGGAGGAGGAGGAGGAGGAGGAGGAGGAGGAGGAGGAGGAGGAGGAGGAGGAGGAGGAGGAGGAGGAGGAGGAGGAGGAGGAGGAGGAGGAGGAGGAGGAGGAGGAGGAGGAGGAGGAGGAGGAGGAGGAGGAGGAGGAGGAGGAGGAGGAGGAGGAGGAGGAGGAGGAGGAGGAGGAGGAGGAGGGAGGAGGAGGAGGAGGAGGAGGAGGAGGGAGGAGGAGGAGGAGGAGGAGGAGGAGGAGGAGGAGGAGGAGGAGGAGGAGGAGGAGGAGGAGGAGGAGGAGGAGGAGAGGAGGAGGAGGAGGAGGAGGAGGAGGAGGGGAGGAGGCCGAGGATGAGGAGGAGGAGGCCGAGGAGGAGGGAGGAGGAAGGGGAGGAGGAGGGGGGAGAGGGAGGACGGGGGGAGTCCCAACACTTCTGTCGTTGAGCTTGCCTCCTGGAGGGCCCTCGTCGGCACTGCATGGGTCGGCCCCGAGATCCAGGTCGGAGCAAAAGTCGGGACATGCCCAGGAGTCGGCTTCGAGGGAGACGGAGGATGAGAAGGAGGAGGACGAGGAGCAACGGTTGTTCAGAAACATGTGCAAGGCGCGCAGATGTTGGGGGAGGGCTGGCAGCGTCCATGCATCATAGCCCCAGCACCTGGACACAACTTCAATCCGTCCGGTTCAGTCCTCTAAGCACCACGTAAGTTTTCAGATTTCCTGAGCGAGCGCCCTTATTACGCATGCAGTTCCACGGCACATGGAAACTGCGTGGCTTTACCGTCACAATTACAAGTCCCATAAGCACCGAAAGGCTCTAGCTCCACCGGGACAGTACGAACAGATTCCGCCGGGAGTTGTGGAACGTACTAGTGGGCACCACGGGATCGACCAACAGTTTCCGTGAGTTGCTTTCGCATCAGCAGCCCGCCCAGCTGGTTCAAATGTCCGCGCCATTCCGAGCCAGCGAAGCACTCACGTCACGTCCTGCACGTGCCCGGCTCGTTGCCTCATGGAGGGGCAGCACCGCGCACCCGCAGCGCGGCGCCCAGCTTGGTCGTCGCCAGCTCTCGACCACGAAGCGCCCCTAAGGGGCAACGTTAGGGTTAAGTCGAGCATGTCCCCCTACAGAAGGAATGTTCCAAGGTAGTCCAGAAATATTAGTTTGGGCCGATTTTCCACAATTTTCGATGGACTATGTTCGATACTGTTCTGATTATGTTCCAACCATCCTGTGGTGTTGGGTCCTCGTTTTGAAGAGACAACGCCCCGCGTCTCCTCCTTCCTCCTCTCCCTCCTCCTCCCTCCCCCTCCTCCCATTCCTTGCCTCTGTCCTCCGCATGTCCTCGTGATCGTCATCATCATCATCATCATCATCATCATCATCATCATCATCATCATCATCATCATCGTCATCGTCATCGTCATCGTCATCGTCATCGTCATCGTCATCGTCATCGTCATCGTCATCGTCATCGTCATCGCCGTCATCATCACCATCATCGTCACACCCAGTACAGCGCTTCGTGGCCCCACAGGGAGCTCTACCGAAGGTCCCAGTGGCGCAGTTCGCATGCGTCTCCCCCGCCCAGTACAACGCTTCGTGGCCCCATAGGGAGCTCCAGCGAAGGTCCCAGTGACGCTTTTCGCATGCGTCTCGCCCATTCAGCACAGAGCTTCGTGGCCCCATGGGGAGCTCCAACGGAGGTCCCATTAGCGCAGGTCGTAAGGACATCCCCCACCCAGTACAATGTTTCGTTGTCCAATGGCAAAGTTCGCATGCGTCTCCCCCGCCCACTGCAGCGCTTCGTGGCCCCATCCATGGGGGCTCCACAGGAGGTCCCAGTGGCGCAGTTCACATGCGTCTCCCCCACCGGTACATCGCTCCGTGGCCCCATAGGGAGCCCCACCGAAGGCCCCAGTGGCGCAGTTCGCATGCGTTTCCCTCGCCCAGCACAGCGCTTCGTGACCCCAAAGGAAGCTCCACAGGAGGTCCCAGTGGCGCAGTTCGCATGTGTCTTCCCCACCCAGTACATCGCTTTGTGGCCTCATAGGGAGCTCCACTGAAGGTTTTAGTGGTGCAGTTTGCATGCGTCTCCCCCACACAGTACAGCGTTTCGTGGCCCCATAGGGAGCTCCACCGAAGGTCCCAGTGGCGCAGTTCGCATGCGTCCCCTACACCTAGTACAATGCTTCGTGGCCGATAGGGAGCTCCACCGAAGGTCCCAGTGGCGCAGTTCGCATGCGTCTGCCCAATTCAAACAGCGCTTCGTGGCCCCATAGGGAGCTCCAGCGAAGGTCCCTGTGGCGCCGGTCGTATGCGTATCCCCCACGCGGTACAATGTTTCGTGGCCCCACGGGGAGCTCCACCGAAAGGCCCCGTGCCGCATTTCGCATGCGTCTCCCCCACCCAATACAGCGCTTCGTGGCCCCATAGGGAGCTCCACCGAAGGTCCCAGTGGCGCAGTTCGCATGTGTTCCCCCCACCCAGTACATCGCTTTGTGGCTCCATACGGAGCTCCACCGAAGTCCCAGTGGCGCAGTTCGCATGCGTCTCCCCCACCCAGTACAGCGTTTCGCGGCCCAGAAGGAGCTCCACGAACGACGATATCCACAATTGCAGCACCCACAACTTTGTATGGTTGTTTTTTTCCGTCAGGCTAATTTGATTCCGTTTTCCGAAATTCGCCTGCAGGAGGACATGCCTGACCCAATGTCAAATATCGGCGGCGAGCGAGGGGGGGAAGGGGGGAAGTAAAAAGGGGCGGGCTTTCTAAGAAGTCTGGGAAGTCCCCCGGCCTTCTGAGAAGTTTTCTAAGCCTTCCCCGGAGACAGAAGCAACATCTCAGAAGGCGCAAGAGTTTCTGAGAAGTCCCGCCGACTTCTAAGAAGGCCTTCTCCTTCTCACTTCCTCCCCTCGCTCGCCGCCAAAGATCGGCTCAGGGGAAGCAGGTTTTCCGACGTTCTCGTCGCTTCTCGGACGTCTTCAAGCCTCGGCGTGCTCTCTTCCGACGCTTCGGCGAGAGGCGCCCAGGGGTGCCTGGGGCGCCCCCGGAACGGCAGCCAGAGATCCGAATTTTGACCCGAAGACCAGGCGACGAGGATCACCGCGGGGGAGGAGACTGTTTTTTGTAGGGTCGTGCGATAACCCGGGTTATCGGGCTTGCTC